ACTTAATTTGTGAAATGATTTATATATGATATATGTTACACATATAGTTGATTAAGGCCTTTTTTTGTGTATTTAATATATTACGTATTGATTAAAATTATATATTTTTGTTACGATTCATGTGCACATTATCCATTAGAAGAGATAACTGAGTTATTTTTTTTATTTGTCATTCAATTGAGTTTATATTTTCTTTGTAATGTAATATTAATGTATAATTCGTTTACACCTTTTCATAACATAAAAGAAAATTTTGAATGTAATAAATTAATTTTTTATTAAATTAATTGGTTGGCATAAATATACTAATATATGATTTCAAACCAAGAATTAAAAATAAAATAAAATATATGTTAAGCGGGTGACAAAAATGCAGATAAATTAAATTATGTAAGAATATTAGAAATTATATTACATATAAAAGTTAAATAATATGGATTGTAACATTTAGATAAAGGTGGAATAAAGTGAGAAGAAAAAAAAATATTAATTATAGAATTTTGTAACGTCTTTTGGCGGAAAACGATAATGTGTAATTGTTTTGCTAGCAATTATATATATAGAGAGAGATTTTTTAACGGTCATCCAAACCCTTAAGGCAATATGGCTTTTTTTTTTTTTTATAAATATACATACTTTCATTAAAAAGTATCGCAATTTTAAAATCAGCATACACAAAAAGTATGACATTGATAATATGAGTGTGCATTTTTTCACGAATTAAGTATGATGGGTCTATCTGTCTCATCAATAATCACTTGTTAATCACTTAAACTTAATAATTAGGGACCATAGGGAAACTTAAACAACTGTTAGAATAGCTTTGGGGACTAACTGAATGGTACTATGTACGAGGACAACTAATTAGAAAACAATTAACTAAAGCCTCGACATTAACGAAACAATTGAGTTTGCATATGTCTCTTTGCCTTTGCTTTGTCCCCTAACTTCCATATTTCGGTCCTATCTTAACGGAGTAGCTCAGGAGAAATTCATAGATTCTGTTTAGTTATTTAATTAAGTTCTTGTTTTTTTTCGAATAAATTAAGGAATAATGAAAAAAAAAAAACAATTCAATGCATCTAAAAAGTTTCATTGTTATGATAGCTAATTGCGTGATCATGGAAAGTTTTTGTATATTGTAGTTAAGCTTCTTGTTTTAATTTACTTTTGAATAATTTAATTTTGTGATGATGAGTTTAAGAAATTTTTTGCATATGGTAGTTGAGTTTATAGTTCAAATTTATCTTTAAATACTTTAATTTTGTGATGGTGAGAAGGTTTTGCATGTTGTAGCTGAGTTTGTAGTTTAAATTTACATTTATACACTTTATATACCCCATACAAATTAAAATAAGTTTACGAGTGTATTTGGTAAGCATCATATGTTAATCTGTAATTTTTTTAGGCAGTTTATATTTTATAAGCATCTTGTATTCAAATAACCTAAATTGGTAGGATAAATTATTTATAAAATTTGAGTTTATGTCATAAACTTTCTTAAGGTATTTTTTTCAAAAATTTATTGAAATTTTTATTTCAACCGACCCATCAACCAATTTTACCATAAACTATTATTATATAACTTAACTTTTTAGTCATCAACTATCACTATAAGTTTGAAATCTATACTTATATAATAAGAATTAACTTTTTTCAAAATTAGTATGTCAATTCTTAGTCAACATCTTGTCTGCATTAAATGTTTACTAAAATTAGTAACTTTTATGTCCTTTTCACACTTTTTCTTTATGTCCTTTTCACACTAGATTATATAAATGAACGGATATTATCCCACCTTTCATTAATCTCACCTATAATTCATGTGAATTGATTGATTGCCTTTAACTTTTCAAAACGTGTGCTATCCATTGTTTATTACTATTATTATTATTATTATAGTATGCACGTAATCAGTTGATTAAATAAATTATATATTATTATTATTATTATACTCACCACGTGACAGTTAATTAAAATATATCTATACTTATATTAAAAGGTATATCATTTACCAGATTTAATATAAAAAAAAAGTCAACAACATTTATTGCATTACTATTTCCGTATTATACAATCTATACTTATAGAAAAAGAGATTCTATTTACTATATTTACTATCCAGAAAAGTCAACTGCATTAATTTGTTTGAAAAAAAAATATAAAACATAAAATAATAGAAAAAACACATGTTGTCGTATAAATTCGCTAAATTCTACGAAATTGAACATATAGCGAGGGATATCTCGAGATTCGAAAAGTATAACTGCCGTACACTCGTGAAATTTTAACATATATTAATGTGGGGTGGTTTTGTAATCACCTTTGTTCTCTTGTATCTCGAAATTTGTCATTATGTAAAATGACCCATCTTTTATAATATCTTCATATTTCGAGATGCGCCATCTCGGAATGGTCGCTTGAATTTTTCCACCCTATAAGAATATAATGAAATTTGTAAATTTGTTTAATATTAGTAAATTTCACTTTATTTAACTTTATAAAGCTAATGAGCGTAAATATTGGTAATCGTGTATGAATTTCATCATATGAATGGTAGCTTTTGATGTTTAGTGCCTTTAATTGTTTCATAAGCTTTGATTTGGAAACCCATAAAATGAACGGTGGGTTTTAAACATTGTATAATTTTCTTACGTATTATAAACTTGAATATTATACAACTTTTATTGAACATTGTATAATTTTCTTGCGTATTATAAACTTTTATTGAATATTGCATCTTATAATATAATATTCTCTAAATAAATATATCTCGTGCTTTGCACGGGTCACGTACTATATATATTCCGTACTTCTTTCTTTATTCATGTATATAATTATAAGCCTAGATAAATAGTCTTAAAAATGTACATCCCGTGCATCGCACGGGCTCTGTACTAGTTAACTTATGAACTTCCAATTAATATATAAATTATAAATTTTTGTTTGGATTTCCCAAAATAACCTACGTCCAACTCGTTTATTGATTTCTTAGGTGGGCCCTACTTAAATGTAAAATGTGGGCTTGGGACTTTAGTTGACAATAACTAGCTGGTTTGATTAGCATGGCCAAAAACCGACAAAACCCAATAGTACGCGCATATACAGCCCTGGCCCATTTTCATTAGTCCAATACATCGTAATAGCGTCCTTCTAAGGAAAATTAGCAGAAAAACGTGATCTAAGTGGTTTGAAGACATTATTAACAGGTTGCAGATATAATTATACTCCTATTTTCGTAAATATATATTTTCATTTTTAAATAACATATTTTAAAATATAATATAAATAAAAATATGAGATAATATTACAGTTATAAATTTATTTATCAACTGTCAAGTGTCTATAATTCAGAGTATTGACCTTTTCAACTGTGAAGTCGTTTGGTCATAGGTGGTACATGTTTAGATCATCCAATAGAAATAAGAATCATTCAATGCCGCCTAATTCTGTGCACAATAAAATGTCAAAAAGGTATTAGTCGTCCCATTTTTTATATACTTGAGAAAATGCGCCATATTTGTAAGGGTTGACTCATAAGTTGACTTGCTGCTGCAAACTGTCAAGGTCAACATACCAGTCGCCATCATCCACAAAAGTATAAATATACTCAAAAAGATATAATATTTTTATTTATTATTAATTTTTAAATTTCGTCAAATTTGCTAAAAATACAATTGGGTAACATTATCTCAGCTAGATATAGAAACACAATTTTTGTATAAAACTACGCAAATACTTCACACAATTTAAAAATAAGTATAAAAAAACACATAATCATAAAATCAAAAGCTAATGCACGTAAAATAGACCTTAGCTAGGTCATAAAAATACGCTGCCCTACAAAACAAAACAAAAAAAAAACACCAAAAAGAAAAAAAAAATACTAAAATAATATAAAATAATATTATTAGCATTTGATATCCCCAATCGCCCGCGTGGCAATCACGACCTCCACTGAGCAATTCATAGCCGTCGATCTTTTCTTCCTCATCACGAATATCAAATCCACTCTCCCCTTCATCTGCGCCCGAAAATCGATCGTCACAATCCCCGTGCTCAGCTCCCTCGCCAGCTCATCACTCGCCGGTAAGTCCAAATCCACGTTGAACCCAATCCTCCTCGTCGACCTCCAGCCCACGCTCGACCCACGCATGGCGGCCCGGCCCGCTGTTCCGCCGGAGTAGAAAAACTCGACGGTGGTGTTGTGGAATTTGTACTGGCCGAAGTTCGGGTTCCGGAGGGACAGATCGGCGGTTATCGATGCCCTAAGCAAAGGGTTCGCCGGAGTTCCGGCGGCGAGGTTGGAGAGCGCGGCGGATCTGAGGCGGAGCTTCGGGGTCCGGACTTTCATGACGGTGAGGGAGAAGATGAGGATGACGCCGGTTTGGAAGATTGCGAAGAGGAAAATGAAGAGGAGGCATTTGTTGCGCTTTTTTCGGCGGAAGTCGGCGCCGCCGCCGCCGCTGCCGACGCCGGCGAGTAACTCGGCGTCGGGCGGTGTGTTGTAACGGCCGTTGCCGGAGTGTGAGATTGTTTGGTCCTTGTCAGACAACATGGTTTGGTAAAAGGATTTTTAAAAATTTTGTGTGTTTGTGTGTGTTTATACTTTTGAGAGTGAACGGTTCATATATATATTGGGGAAAGTGGTGAAATTAATTGTACGTTACACTTCAAATTCTACTTATTTTTAGTAAGAGAGAAACGCGTGAAAAGGAATACTTTGAATAACTTAGACTTTGGGCCATTTGTTTCTTTTAATTGCTATACTACCGTTTTGAAGTGGGATAATGTTACCAAACATGAATACTGATGATTGGTCCGTTAGAATCTTCTATTGAGATTATGATATTTTGTTTCGTTTTAACCTATTTTAAGATACCACATAATTAGTGCTATATTTGGAATAGTATCTCTAAAATATGATCAGTAGAGTGGTTTTTTTTAATCATCGGATCATAATTCATATAGAAATATATGTACATATTTATTCATGTGTGAATTGATTCAATGGTGAAAGAATGTGTGCCCTCAAAATACAATGAGAAAGATTTTCGCAAATAGTAAAAATAAAAATAAAATAATTAATAAAAAAAAAGACATTTAAAAGACAATGTTACATGAAACTTTAATTTAGTCATCTTTGACAACAGCATTGTTAAAATACAAAACACCTTAAGCACTCTTATGATATTTACTGTACTAGTATAAAATATTAACATATATTTGAATTTTATACTAGTAACTTTGAATTATATGCCAAAATAAAATCCAAAAATATTGGACTTACACAAATGTAAATTTTCGCCAGAAGTTAATTTAATATATTCACATTGAACTCGTTGGCTAGATAGGATTTAAACAATTGATTAACAAGACATTCTACATACCTACTCATCTACCCACTAGATGGTATAATAATTTATCATGAATTCATGATCATCATCTAGAAGGGACAACATAGTCAAATAGGTCCCATAATTAAATGGTGTAATTAACTTATCGTTGACTTGGAAGAATGCAGCACAGTTTTAAGCCTCGTCCTTCAAAGATTTATCAATTCTGAAATTATTTGCTACATTTAGTGATAAAGCTTGTATAGTAGTGTGTATGTATATCATAATTTGTCTTCGCCAATACTTTAGGGTAGATTGAATATGTATCAAATCGGTTATAATCTAACTTGGTGAGTTAAATTGAGTTATTGAATAAAGTAAAACTAAAACTAATTAATAATTAAAATATAGTGATTAAAGTTGATATGATGTAAAAGTAAGAGAAAAATTATGAGAAGTGATGATTGTTAAAATTATTTAAGTATGTTAATAGTCAATTAAAGTTGATGTGATGTGTGAGAATAATTCATTAATATTATTTATTATATTTACAAAAAATAAGAGAATTAGGTTGAGTTGAATTTTGAATTAGGTTATTCAATATGAAATGACTTAATCGGTTATAACCGATAGAGTTGGATCATAGCTCATTTCAATCACAACCTTATTTATACACTTTTTGAAATTTGCTCATATATATTTCATTGCACTTTTCATTTACATTTGATCTAATCCGCCCGTGAAGGGGCGATTGGATATAAATCAATAGTTTTCGTTCTTACACATTAATTATGTCAATTTTATGTCAAAATATTAAGTTGAAATAGCATTGTTTTCAAACAATATAAATGAAACTAGAAAAAACAAAGCATTATTGATGACTTAAGCACACAACCCTTTGAAGGGAATAAACAAGCTTCCATGCGGTCCATCCAACGCGTTTCGCGGCAGTTAAGTTAGGTAAATTATGTCACAGTAATGTTTTTATTATTGTTCTTGAAAATTAAGAAAGAACAATAAATTCGATATTTTTACTCGAAAACTGGAAAAGGAAGACCATATTTTGGCACATCTGACAATTGATTTGCATGGCATGAATAACATGTGGAATTGATTAATTGTATAGAATTGTTTACAGATATAAAATAGCACTAATAAGTACTACCTTATGCTTAAAATAACAAATAAGGATATTATGATCACCACATTCAAAAAATATTATCAGTTTTTATACACCATTTAAAAATTTCCTGACTTCTTTATTCTTTGTTGATGCGAGAACACATTAAGAAAGGCTAGAGAAATAATTCTTTTGAGATGATAGACAAGAATTTAATGAGTTGCTAATCTATATATATATATATAATTGCTGACAAACTTCAAGAAATTTTATTCAGCCAACAATTAATAATAATATGAGTTCATTTAATAAAAATATGTGTTCATTTAATAAAAATATGTTCTTCATTTAATAAAATTATGTAACTTTCAGTTACACAATTTATTTTCACGGGTCCCATTTTGGAATGTGCCTATTTCTGTAATGTCTTTTTATGTCCTGAAATACAAAATATTTTTGTTTTTATTTTTATTTTGATACTATATATTTTTTGGTATTATATAAGTACATATTTCACAATCAATTAAGAATGAATAGAAATATTTCTATTTTCTATTGCAGTCATCCAATAATAATAATAATAAAAAAATTGGATATTAAAAGATACATCAAATATTTTAAAAAATCAAATCCTAGAGTACGAGCCCAAGGAGTTTAACGATAATGATTTGTTGTGATGGGGATTCTGACGATAGAAAAACCACAAATGTTGTATATAAAAAAATAATTTAATAATATTTAGATTCACTTTTTTAAATTATTTTTTTCTCATTTATTACGTTATGATTTTTATTTTATTCTATAATTTTATTTACTTTCTCTTCTATTATATCGTTTTACGTGCAAATGCACGGGGTAAAACTAGTTTGCAGTTATAGTTAATATAATAATAAGAAATACTTAAATTATATCCAAACATTCCTCTCAATTTCTGCAATTTATCCACCAATAAAACTCTAATAAAATTAAAAAATCTTTTAATTTCATTTCATTTCATTTATGCAAAAATAAATTCCAATATTAATTTTAACTTAAATATAATGAGAGAATTAACTAATCAATATTGATTTAAACGAGATTCAAATTTTAATTTTCCATAATTGTATTAAAGGTCAGCAAACTACCAAATGAGTGAACTAAATAAAAGTATTTTGGTTTACTATTTGATTAGTATTTTGGGATAACAAACAGGAAATTCCAAACATATGCCAACAAGTTAACCTCAATTTGGTACATAATCAGTATTTTGGGATATATTAGATGTATCAATTCCTCAGCGTATTGCACGATGAATGTGCTGTGGACTTGGGCTAAGCAGCCTTTAATATAGAAGAACGACGAAAATGTATGATCTATTGGGCCTTGAACTTCGAATATCGGGCCAAAAGTTTAGGCCTACCTTTATTGGACGATCTAGAGTTACAAATGGGTTCCCAATTCATGAGCGTTTTTCTAGCCTTATGAACTCCAGTAATAATTTATTATCATCACTTGCAAGAACCGTAACAAATCGTATATGATGCAGTTTTTAACATCACATAATGTTACCATTTTTAGAAATGTTATTACACACATTGTAATGTTGTTTTTATTAAAATTAATCCTAATTGAAAGGAGCATCAAACACAATTATCATAGCACTATTCATACTTAAAAACAAAGTTTTCACAATTCTTAGACTAATTAAGGCTTGGTTTTCACTCAAATGAGAAGAAGACTCCTATGAGTGAACAGAGCTGTACACATACATGCATACGTCTAGTCATTTATCAAGCAACAACGAAAGGGCCAAAACGGAAATAATAATTAAAAAAAAAAAGAAAATAGAAGAAAAAAAGTTATCACGAGAAGGCTATAAATCACGGATTCACCATATTTTCTTGTATTGTAGTGCTCAGGTGAGAAAACATTTTTCTATAACTTTTTATTCAGAAAAACTGTGTAGGTAATGGGCCAGCCAAAGTAACCAAGCTGATTTCACTGTACGCCATTGAACCCACATAAATTTTAACCGTTTGGATCACACAAGTATGAATCTAACCTTTTCAAAATGGTGATATATATGTTGCGATTTTGCCCACGAGCCACGACGATGGAAAGAAACAATAAAGTCTCCAATTTGACTTTCGGAAAAATATTACATCAAAAAAATGATCTTCTTAAGCATTAAATTTTTCATTTTGTGTAATACGACATTTGCATGCGGGCCTTAAATAGTAGAGCAATCCTAAAGACTATTGTTATTACCTCATTAGACAAATATATTTTCTTATTTCATATATTTTATAAATATAAAAAAAAGTATAATCTTTAATAATATAAATGTGTATTTTTGTTCAGAAAATAAAATGGATCGACCTGTTTAATCTCCAATAGACTTTAGGGACTCGTGAACCCAAAAACTAGAATATGGGGATGTCATATCTGAATATTTTTCAAATGATAATAAGTCCGAAATTCCTTTAGATGTTCACATGTAGCCCTCAATCATCAAAACTGTTACTCTAATTAAATTTTTTGGTTGTGAGAAGGAAACAAAGAAAGGTACCACTCTACAATCACATGATTTTTTCTCAGCCACAATTATATAGTAAACCAAAGGGAAACAGGAAATTCCAAACATATGCCAACAATTTGAGCTCATTATTTTCTTATCTCCCTTTCATTTCTTTTTTCCCTTTTTTTTTGTTTGTTTGTGCTGATGTCATGATGAAGGCAAATTTTATCCAAGCAGCATCTTAAAAGTTATTTTCACCAAATAAATATAACCAAATACAGTCCCACCAACAGCTAGTTTTGGATTCTTTACTGAACCTTGCATGAGTTTTCGATGCTAAAGAAAAATTTCAGAGTTTTACTTTGACCTATATGATGTTTATGACTGATGAGGAGACTGAAAATTTTAGTATAGGTTAATAGCACAATAAACTT